TTGCCTTCCCTTCCAACGTTTCTAAACTTTTGAGCCTCCAGGCAGACAGGTGTAATCAAGCATTCTTTGTTCCTCACATTTGAAGTTTATCCACTTGACTTCATCATACATGCTGATATGAACATGTGCCAAGAGGCTCCTAGGCTCAAGGGTGGTCCAAGCTTTATAGCTGATGAACTTTCTACATAAACTGCCACAGATTTAGAATAAGCCCTTTAAGAACTTACAGCCTCTTAACTGTGGCTTTATGTTTAAATTTCACTTTAGTTCATTTATTTTAGATTTTATAAAGATATATTGGAAACTGGTCCCTCACCACTGCTGAACTGTCAAAACGTGTCCTGAACATAATACAACTTGCAGTCTTTAACACCTGTTTATATAAAGGAATTGGAACTAGGTATTAAACTGTTTACACCAATTTTCATCTTTTTGAAAATGTAAACTTTCAAGAATGAACATTATCACACAACTCACATTAGTGGTTTTTATGCCCTTAATTTTAGATAATTTAAGACATTGCTGACAGCATAGAAGTGGCTACTGCAATGAGACATGAATTTTGTCCACTGCATTGGCCAAAAAAGGCTGAGATCCAGTCTTGAACTTTCTTCCCAGTGTTAGGGATGTGATTTACAAACCTTCTGAATGCGGGCAGTCAGGGGTTGAAGCCATTTCTTTGAACCACAGATGGGATTACAGTTACTCAGGGTTAAAAAGTGTGTTTGATTCATTCAAACCAAAACATTTGAAAATAATAATGGACACAGGTTAAGGTAGAACCTAGCATTTTATTTAGATCTTCATTAAACTGTTGGAATTGAGAACCAGACATACGTAATAAACCTCCAAAAATAGATCCTGAAAGGCACTTTCTGCTTAGGGCAAGCAGTCATGGAATAAGCATGTAAACAAGCTGGCTTCTCTGTACCACACCAGCCAAGTCAGCTTTCTCCATGGCCAGCCGCACCAGCTCTGCCCTCCCTTCTGTTAACACCAGCCAGACCCCCTGTAGGTCTAACCCAAGGTTTTTCTGTAGGACACCTTGGCCTACCTGGGAATGCTGGAAACATGTTAAAGGAATCATGGTGTTGAGGAAAAAAAAAAAAATCTTTTAAAAGCTGCCATCTGAGGTGATGGCTTCTCTGTACTTACGCCATACCCCAGAATACAATAAATAAGCGATTAGAAAATGTTCAAGTATGAAGGGATTTCCTCCTCCCCGCCAAAAGCACTGCTCTCTGAAGGAAGCTGGTTTCTCTGTAGCTACACCAGCTGTTCAGAAAGCTCATTGGACCTGGTTTTGAAAACAAAACAAAGTTAAAACCTTGGGAGGAGTTATTGTGCAGTGTGGAGTACTCAGTCTTTCTTATAAAGAAAAAAAAAAGTTATCTGGTACCAAAGTGTGCAACCTACAGACCCTCAGGTACTGCCCTGTGACTTCTCTGTATCACATCACAAGGGTGCCAAGTGCCTGTTTTTCTAGAGCTAGGAGTTGGTGGTTTGGCTAGTGCTGAAACCATGCATAGGATTGGTTTACTAAATAAAAACCTTATTACGTACGTCCTCCAAAAGACAGCTGAAAAGTGGAGAGATTTTGATTTGGTGCTGTTTAAAGATGGCAATTAAGAGCATAAGCACCAGGGAGATGGTTTAATGGTAACTGCCTTTTTTTTTCTTATGTCAGGCTAGAGCTCCAATTGGAACTTGCGTTACATGCAAGAGTGATTGGATAGGGAACGCTCCCTGACAAAGAGCTACATAATTAGAAATGGATCAAGTTATAGGGAGGATAAGGGAAGGCTTCACATTCATAATAGAGCTCAAGACATTACAAATTCATGCTGACAGGGCTGTGGCATTGCCAGACAAGAGGCTATAATGGAACTACAAGTACTTTACGTGCACATTACAAGGACATTTTCAGCATTTGGTGGGAAACTCAATGCAATTAGGATTTTAGAAGGTTGGGTTGATAGGGCACAAAGGTTCAATTTCAAAGCATTATTTACTACAGTGTTGTTGGTTTGTTTCTAGGCAGTTACATGGATCACCTATGCTCACTAAATTCATTATAATGGTGAACAAAACACCTAGGGACAGAATAGCAAGCCCAACTTACAGTCCCCCACACAAGCTAAAATTCATGTCATTGACTAGAGTGACTGCAACTGATCAGGAGCTGAAAGAGGACAGGAAAATTTAGGAAGAAGGGCCCTTTCCCTCAGAGCTTGAAGGCTTCTCTGTAGCCTACGCCAACAAGTCTGGGGAAAAAAGGCTAACACTTTCAATATTTAAGCTTTTTGGGCACTTCCCATGGGAAGCTGTCCCTACCAAAGTGGCCATAGGCTGCAGTCCTCTGATAAATTGGCTTCTTCAGATCCAGATCCCTGGAATATACAAGTCCGTAACTTAATATGTAGCATTCAATTAAAATAAAGCAAAACAATCAGCAAGACTCATTTTCAAGACTCCTGGCAAATGAGTTCAGTTCTCTGGGGTGTGCTAGGAAAGAAGTTTGTGGCAAAAGTGTTTGTTACTTCCCTGGTGTCCAAACTCCTTGCACAGTCCTTATTAGTAACTATAGTTCTTGTTTTTCCGTCCCTGGCTCAACAAATATGAAAACTTGTCATTATTCTGAGAAATTCCAAGTGTCAAAAGCTCATCTAAGATCATGGAATACTTACCGAGGTCCCATGCCCACACCCTACTATGGTTATTTTCTTTATAACAGCCATGAACATTCCATTTATTTGTACTAATTTCTGTTAAGTAAACATTCCTTAGGTAACACGAACAAAGCCTCGTATCAAATGTGGAGGACTTTCTAGGGTAGTCAGTCTAAGTTGTGGAGCACTGTAATTTTAGATTTTTCCTAGTAATTTAAGCCTTTAATGAAGGCAATTGAAAAGATGACATCAACACGTCCTAGGAATTAAAGTATTTCCCCACTTGAGTCGTCTTTCACACCTTGACCCTCAGATTTGGACACATCGAAATACATAGACATACACACCCACACCCTCAGTATCTTTTCACTAGCAATAGGCTTTACCATCTTTACCTGACAATGACCCCAGGGCGGAGGTCAAAGTTCTTCTTCACAATCTCTAATAGCTCTCTCTCACTCTTCTGAGAGGTGCCATAATGGAAAATGGAGATAGACAATGGATGAGATACTCCAATAGCATAAGAGACCTAAAAGAATTTAAATGTCATAAAAGTCAGTGATCAAAAAACCCACGTACAAGTGTAATACACTGGTATAAAAAAAGACCATAGATAATTTACCAAATGCCCCCCTTATATGCTTTTTAATCATCCCAGTTGTATAAAAGAGTATATACCTGAACAAGAACCCTTCTGCACAGACCTCCTTTAACAAGGGATTTTGCCACCCAACGAGCAGCATAAGCAGCTGATCGGTCCACCTTGGTATAATCCTTTCCTGAAAAGGCACCTCCTCCATGAGCTCCCCAACCGCCGTAAGTGTCCACAATGATTTTCCGGCCAGTCAAACCAGCATCACCCTGAAATTACAGGATTTAAGTCACTTTACGCCTAACCCTTTCCAGTGGTTCTAGATCAGGCTTGTTAAATGCTTATTCAGTATCACTCAGGAAATTTCCTCAGAAGATTCACATGTAGACTTCAAAAACAACCTAGAAAAAAGGTGAAAGTAGCCAAATTTTTGCAAGTAACCATGACAGAAGATCAAAAAAAGCAAGCTGAATTGACACTGTAAGGCCTTACCTGAGGCCCACCAATAACAAATCTGCCACTTGGCTGTAGATGATAGATTGTATCCTCATCAAGATATTTTGCAGGTACCACAGCTTTGATGACTTTCTCCTTTAGGGCATCCCTCATCTCATCAAGACAAACTTCTTCATCATGCTGAACAGATATAACAATTGTGTGGACTCTGATGGGAAGCACAGCACCTCGATCCTGCATATACTGCACAGTCACCTTGAAAGCAAAACAGATCAGACCATCAAGACCATCAGTCTACCAAACAAAACAAATGCTATTCTTTAACTTTAATCAAACAACTTTACTGATGTTCTGTGCCAACTCAACGTGTGTCATCTAATTTTATGATGATTTCCACTCACTTGAGTTTTAGAATCCGGGCGTAACCAAGGCAAAGTGCCATTTCGCCGCAGCTCAGCCAATTTGGCATTGAGCTTGTGTGCTAAGACAATGGTTAAAGGCATACATTCCTCAGTTTCATCAGTGGCATACCCAAACATCAAACCCTAGAAAAAGAAAAGTCACCAATGTGATAAATCCATGCTTCAGAATTTAATGTTAGAAGTAATGCAAAGAAATGTGTACCAAGATACCTGGTCTCCTGCACCAATGTCTTCCTCATTCCGGTCAAGATGAACACCTTGAGCAATATCTGGTGACTGCTGCTCCAAAGCTACTAGCACATTACAAGTCTTGTAGTCAAACCCTATAAACAAAGCAATGTCTTGTTTAAAAAGAAAAAAAGAAAAGGAAGGAGGCTATAGCAATACTTAGTATTTACAACAATTATCTACAATTGTAAATACTGCTGAAGAAATCAGATACCTAAAACTTAGTACTTTTGGACACCAGAACAGCCCTGGAACAAAAAGACAGTAAGTATACAAGTGGCATTAAAGATTCCTGGGAACATTCTAGAAAATAGAGCTAGAGAAGACTGAAGAAAAGGTCTGAAAAAATTAGATTAGAAAAGCCAACTCATTAAAACACACCTTTGGAAGAATCATCATAGCCAATGTGTTTAATGGTTTCACGAACCACTTTCTGGTAGTCAACAGCAGCTCTGGATGTGATTTCTCCAGCAAGAAGGATCATTCCAGTTTTAGCAACAGTTTCTATAAAAGAGAAGTTCACACTCCAACATCACTTTTACAAAGTCATTTTCACGTTACTTTTTCATCAGCTGAGAAAGCAGTGTTCTGAACCTACCACAAGCCACTTTGGCATCAGGGTCCTGCTGAAGGTGGGCATCAAGGACAGCATCACTGATCTGGTCACAAATCTTATCTGGAAAAAAAATTCCTTACTCAATTTCTTTAACTTGCTGTTAGCGTGTCATGCTCCTTCCTTTTAACTACAGCTGTAAAGATCTTTGTGAGAGCTTTCTTTTAAAAACTGCGGCAGAACTTACAGAACGTAAAGTTTACCAATTTAACCCGTTCAAGTGTTCATTTTCAGTGGCATTCTTCTACCTGCTGTCTGCGGAAAGCACTGCTTTTACAGAAACTATTTGCCTGAAGAACAAATGCTGGACACAGTGCTACATGTTACCTACACCTGAGTCTTAGTATAGCTGCACAAGATCACCAATCCAGAAAAGCCAGCAAAACACTCAGCATGTTTAATACATTTAAACTCTTTGCAATATAATGCACTTTGAATCTTACAAGGACTTCAGTTCCACCTTTAACGTAGGTTTATCTTCCATCCAAAAGCAAAGCAAGGAGTATTATTTTTCAAGAACAACTGTAATTACATTTTATCCCCAAAGTTTAAAGTTTGTATTATAAATCTAACCAGCCAGAGAGGTGAACTGTTTATCTTATCAATTTCTCTCTGACCCTAAGAAGCACCAATTAGGGCAATGAGAAATACTGTCATTTACAGAAGTGCCTCCTAAAGAGTTAGATGAAAGCAAGGACACTTTGTGAACAAATCATTTGATCTTAAGAGGAGACAAGGAACAAGAACTGAACAGTATGGGAAATCCCCCAACGCAGGCTGAATCCTTGATGATCTTCCCCCCACTGCATTGCCTTCTATTAAAAATTAGGAGCGGGAACAGTAATAAACTCCCAAACATCACTTTCCTAAATTTTCTATAACCATCCAAAAAAATTAAAGCGAAATGTGTGCTACAGTCAAGTCAGAGGCCAAAGACTTAATCTAACGCAAACGCTGGGACTTAAATGAAATTAACAGAAGGCGGGTCTAATACATATGATAAGCTCTCAGTACTGAGGGGTAAAGTCACCACACCACACTTGACCTTCACTCAGCAGATCTTGGGGTTTGTCCTCTCCTATACCACGAGGTTGCTCGTGGGATTTCATCATAGGCACAGCAGACTTACTAGAGAAATGGATCCTTAACCCATCAGACTAGGTATCTGTCATCGTGGTCATCCTAAGAAAGGGCTGGAACACTCCAGTAAAATAACGATCTTTTACTAGGTGAGTTTTCCAGGCTGAGATCGAAAGCTCCTTCCAACAGCTTCACTCGTGCGCGTGTAAACTGATCTCCATAATGGCGGACGAGTGGACAAAGCCCGGAGGACAAATGAAGTAAAACCTTGCCTGAGGGTCAGCCCCGCAGACTTTAAAAGGAGACCCAACGCAATGGCAGCTTACACTTAATTCACGCTTCCTGTCCTCCTCACGCGCGGTCCAAATAAGGCAGGCCTCCTCCGACACGCGCTATATTTAGTTGGAGGCTGTCACCTTGACGCAAGGCCATAACCGCCTAAGGGCACGTCACAGTCTTCAGTGGAGCGTGGACCAGAGGGAGGGAATTAACGGGAAGAGGGGACCCCCTCTGAGGCCCGGGCCCCGCTCCGCAAACCCGGGTCACCCGCCGGCTCCCTCGCCGAGGCCACATGCGGCAAACACGTGGTTGCGGCTGCAATGCGGGGCGCGCGCTCCCGCGGGCCGGCCGCGAGCACGCGGG